TGTGGATATTTTAAACGAAAACTCTTCTTATCCAGAAAAACAGCTCCTTAGAAATGCTGTGTTGACCTTCAGATCATCAAAGCTTTCTTGTTCGATCTGTTCCCACCTCCGTTATAGGAGAGATGGAATCTCGGCATCAGTCCAATATATGCCTTGTCCCACTGAAGCACGTCACATCTTGACGCCCCACAAATATATCGAGTGAAATGCGGGAACTTGTAAAGTGCAGATCACTTAATCCTGTAGTGTCAGCACAACATTCCCAGGGATCAAGGCTGAGAGCACTAGTGCTGTGGGAGTCAGTAAGTGAATGAGTATGGTTTTACGCTGCACTGTTCCAGCACAATCTCGGCAGGGCGACACATTGTCCTCATGTGGGGAATTGAACCCATGCTCTAGAGCTGTGTATTGCATTTGGGATAATATGAAGAAAAATACCTGAGGTTATGCCCATTCTGTGACATTGATGTCAAAGATGAATACCATTTTATGTTTATTTGCCCTTTGTATGAAAATTACAGAAACAATTACTTACCGCAGTGGTCTTAATCTCGTTTCAATGCTATAAAACTGTTCATTACTGTCCTGCAAGGATCTTCTAATACAACATTATCTGACTTTGTACATACATCATGCGTTTTTGTTACGAAGTGAATTGTTACCTTGCCTTTAAATTTGTATCTTTTAAAATATGTATGTGGTTGTATATAAGCCTGTGGCCTTTCATACAATAAAGTATACAGTGCAGACAGTATTCCTATACAGCAATTCTACCGGAAGCAGAATGCAAATATTTTAAACGAGAGAGTCAAAATGACAATATTTATACATGAGGGTCATAAGTGTGCGATGCTATTTCTGTTCGTTCAAAAGCTTTTACAATAATGCTATCGTTATAAAATTTACAAACATATCCTGATCCAAATTCTGAATTAATGGTGAGTGTATCTATGTCAAATATAAACATTTGCCGTCAAAACCTTGATTTGGAAGACAACAGTTTTGTGTACCTTTGCTATATCAAACTGTTCCACCCAAGATGTGTCGTGATATATACCGCTGTTAGATTTCAGTTTGTTGTGTTTGTCTAAAACTACTGATCATCAATATTTTAATTATTCATATGCTTCGTTTTTGTGTAAAACGGAATGTGTTATGTTATTGCTATTGCGGGGCGGTCGGGTAGCCTAGTGGTTAAAGCGTTCGCTCGTCACGCCGAAGACCCGGGTTCGATTCCCGACATGGGTAAAATGTGTGAAGCCCATTTCTGGTGTCCCCCGCCGTGATATTGCTGGAATATTACTAAAAGCGGCGTAAAACCATATTCACTCACTCACTCACTAACTAATGCTGTGGCATCCAATGGATAAGTAGAGGTATGAAGCTAGATCCAACCTACAAAATGTAATTGTTTATGGGACGGCGCTAGGACTTATTGATTTTAGTCACTGTAAGTTGCAAATCTTGTCTGTAGTTTGCAATTTTATTATCACGAACTAACTGACAGCAACTTAAAATGAACTTCCATCATGCGTATATTTTCACGGGGTAATAATGTAGGTTTATTTCTTATAAGAGATATCAGAATCATATACTGCCTCTTTAAGGATGTTAATAAACTGTACAAGCTTTTACACATATTTACCCGTGTTTAATTAATGATGACTCCTGAATATATAATCCGTCGAAAGCCATTTTATGAACAGGGAGTTAAGTTTGGTATTTCCCAAATTATCTCACAAATTTCTCGTCTCCCAATACCGATTGTCATATCTCGCCCACTTTTGGGTGCGATCGGGCGTTTATCTGCGTTGACCTGCTACATCTTTCGGGAACAACTCACTGGACACTTCCTTCTTAAAATAACGTCGTCCAATTTACGACGTCATCCAGATGTGAGCGTTTGTTCGAAAGTCCAGAAATGACGTCGTGATAGAATTGTGTTTTGTCCTTGAAATAAACCACAGTTCGGTCTTCATTGTTCTTCGCGATTAACCGCGCAGCTATCTTATATATAAAAATAACAACCTGTTACACACGTACATTCATGGCATATGAAGATATTGTACACAACTTGAAATAAACGCCATTGATGAGTGAGTTCATTGGTTTTAAGCCGTTTTCAACGGCTTCCAATTCCATCAGGGTTTGACGCAGGCTGTAAAGATTTACCACGTCAAACACACAGATATGGTGCTGACAGATCACGGCACCTTGCCAGTTGGGAACATATACACTATAAGTAATCACCGAAGAAACAGCTGTTTTCCCAGGAGATGGAATATAGATGAACACACACACCCGCCCTTTATGTACTAATTCCAACAATTCGAAATATCGAATGACTTTCATTCCCAGAATATTTCTTTTGGTCATCCAATCTGGAATAGTCTGAATGCTATATGTATTGATATATAACGAGGGTTCACGGGTGGCCTGTCCCTGCAATATTCCGCGCCCCTTTGGTGTGCCAGAAACCTATGTTCTTTGGTTTGAATCCCATATTCGGTCATGTTCGCAATCCCCTGTTAAGGTCGTGTGAACCCTCCTGATCAGACACGCTCCAGGTTTGACCATTTTCGTTTACTGGACGCAGACACAGCTGATAGTGTTGACCATGTACGAGTCACCACTATCGACCAGAGACTCAACAACACTCAAAGAAGTGGAAACAATTAACGTATCCTTCCCTGCCGAAGGCAAAGTCTGTTCCATCACCAGTAGGATCAAGGCACTCCAACACTGGTGACAATAATGTGGACCTCAGAGTTGATTGTGTTGAAAAATAATGAACAACCGACACATGCAGTCTATCATAGTTAGGCTGAAAATCCTGGATCCAATGGTAACATTGGTCAAGCAGCTGATATGCACTTGGCATCTGGGTGATGGTATCTGGCCAGTAGAATCAATTATTAAAGTTATAAGAAACCGTGCAGAGAGGCAAAAACGATCAGGGAAAGAGCCACCCTGGTCATTTATAAGTGGTGGCAGCAAGGTTCGGAGACTAACTTTGGAGAATGTATGTGTAAAGTGCTTACAGTTTTCACTTTAACAAAATGTTCAATCAGCTAGCATGACTCTGCAGGCAGGAAAGTGACTAGGACTTATTTCTTCATGACAATGGACAACACTGGCTGCCACGCTGACATCAAGTATTTCCAACTGAAGGGACAAATTCCAACAGCCATCCATGCGGACATGTTGCCAACTTCAGGGGATGAAGTTCCGACCATTACCACTGTTAAGCGGTGGACAGGTGAGTTCAAGAGGGGCAGGGAGAGCCTCGAAAATGATCAAAAATCAGAAAACCCGTCAACTGCCACCACTTGGACAAATGTTGATAAAATGTGATTAGTGATGATCGACGACTCATTACACGCACAGACCCAATACAGTTGGCATCTCCACAAGCGGAGAGCAATCTTAGGAATGAACTGACCATGGTTAAGGATTGAAACACGCTGGGTTTGAAGACTCCTGACTCCTGGTCAGAAACGCTCAAGGTTTGACATTTTCGTTTATTGAAAGCTGACTGAGCTGATGATGTTGACCATGTACGAGTCACCACTATCGACGAAAGACTAAACAGAACTCACCGAGCACTCAAAGAAGTGGAAACGTCTCCTTCCCTGCAGAAGGGCAAGTCTGTTCCATGATGATGACGTCACTTCTGATTTGGAGGACTTTTTAAACCGCTGGTGGAAGCCTTCTACATCAGTGGGATCCAGGCACTCCAACATTGTTGGCAATTATGTGGACCTCAGAGTTGGTTGTGTTGAAAGATAATGAGCAACCGATACATGCAAGCTATCATAGTTAGGTTCACCCCTTCTAAGTTTTTATTTGAAATTACGATTTAACGGGAGATATCCATGCCATATCATTGTGGGCATTTGGCAGGCCGTTTGCCCAATGCACGCAATGCGCAAACAATTATCTGCTCATTGCGTTACAATATGGGCAACCAGCATGCTCATTTCACGCAATGTGCAGGTAATTGTTCTGCACAAAGCACGCAGTTGAAAATGGTACTGTTTTAACTGTTTTGTTTTTAATAAAGTAATAACTTTAGGATCATATTGCACAGATTGGATGTAACATATACATGTATTACAAAGTACAGTGAAGCGTCTTCTTAAAGACGAACATCACAGGTTTATTTATAAGTCGAATCCAAAACGACGATTAAGAGTGATTATGTTCTGAAAATACCATTACCCTGCAAATCAAAAGTTCAATTAAACAACGGTTCAGGTATAACAGCAATGGCTGTTCATTTATAGGTGAGGTGAGTCGGGGATCGAATCCCAGACCTCCCGCTCTCCGGGCGGACGCTCTACCACTAGACCACGGAGGCGGTTCTGTTCATTTATAGTTCAGCAACGACGTTCAGATAGTCGTTACTAGTTCTGATAACCGAACAGTGCAGTAATGATAGTCCGGGAATGCCTGTTACAGAATGGTTGTTCGGTAGTAACAGGGCGGTCGGGTAGCCTAGTGGTTAAAGCGTTCGCTCGTCACGACGAAGACCCGGGTTCGATTCCCGACATATCTACAATGTGTAAAGCCCATTTCTGGTGTCCCCCTCCGTGATATTGCTGGAATATTGCTAAAAGCGGCGTTAAACTATACTCACTCACTCGGTAGTAACACTTTGGTAATAACAGTTCTAATAACACTTTAGTAAAAACACTTATAGAACATCTGTTCAGCAGTTACAGGTCAGCGCTAACTGTTCAGTAATAACAGTTTGGCAATAAATGTTCCCATAACAATTATGCAGTTAGAATTTAGCAATGATATTTCAGCAATGACTCTCCTGAAATGATTGTTAATCAATATCGTTTCACTAATGACCCTTCAGGAATAAAAGTTCAGAAATTACAGTTGGGCAATAACGAGAATGAGGACACATCACAACATGATGTTTATATCGGTTTCGTGGCATGTTTTCCTTCCACGTGACTACTAAAAAGAACGGGAGAAGGCACTTTGTAAGTGTGTGCAATCTGTCAAGAGGCACACATGTCTATTATGTTGCAATTGATTTTCTCCCGCATCAAGCGCAATGAGAACTTCAACATCTAGGAGATTCAGTGCTGCTATTCAAGTTATAATTACATGTTAGAGGAACTCGGAGCATTGACTTTATCTGGCATATTGACACACGCTGGTTCTGGCGTTAACAACTGTTTTAAGGTAAGATGTTCGCTTAAAGATTATTAGTATGCTGGGCTCTTCAGCTGATGGTGGCTAGCTTCGGTCGTATCTTTCAGATACGATAGCCTATCCACAAGGTTGAGAAAATGTAGTGTGTGGTAGGTGTGTATGATTTTTCTGTGAAGAAGAAACAAAGATCGAGATGCTGTAGTGTTGGCTTCATCCATCTGCACTCAGGCATGCTCAGATGGTAAGAGTGTTTATCTCCCACAGCTGTGTCCGGCATATTGTTAATTAAGGTACATGCACTGTTCGACATAGACATCGACCCGTAAGCCCGAGGCCGACATATTTGTTCTCGGGCTGATAGTTTTAAATTTCAGCAGGCCCTTACGCCCTGCAGTGTATTTTAAGCTGTAAACATGGTAAATGATTCATAACACTGAGATTGATTGATGGTACTCCGCTCGTTAGCTCTTTCAACACCGCAGGAAGGTGTCCTGGTCACACCGTAGCCACGTCAAAATAATATATAGACTCCCGAAGCTACCTGTCATATCAATCATTTATTAAATCACTTTTCACAAAGTCAGAAAATACGTATTTCCTTTCATATTATATTAATAGATTTTGAATTAAGAAATATTTCCTTCAATGTTATGAAAAGAAATGACCTGGGACACATGCTTCGACAACGGGTCTATATCGGGCTTGATTTTAATCAATAACGATGCTTGTATTAGATTACGACAAATGAGTCATAAGAAACCAATTTCTGTCCAATAACATCGCATTTTACAACTAGGAATATACTCCTGGTCACTGTAATATTATTGATGTTTAGAGCTTTCTAACGATACCAAACATCGCTATCCCGCTATTTTCTTTTGTCACTGAACGGAAAGCCACTATTATCGGGAAATGTGTGATGATAGATCGTACTTAAAATTCGTATATCTTCATTTCCCGATTTCTTTAACATTGAAAATGAAAAAGAAATAAGTTAGTGGATAGCTCTTTTACGAAGTCTTAGAATTGCCGAAAAATGGCCATACATTTTCACTTCCTTGGTGCTTAATCTGGACGTTATGAATGTGTAAGCTTACGATTTTAATTAAAAAAAACTAACTTAATTAAGTTATTAATGCATTATTTAAAAAATGTGATAAACATAACTTTCATATTTACAAATAGTAGGATCAGACCTATCAAATGGTGCATAACATGTAGTAGCAAAGATGTTTTACAAGCTGATATTTTCCTTGATAAATGTTGACTTCATCTATCACCATCTGGTCTAGGGGAACTCGGCATGATAGCAGTAAAACATCTAGTTGACTGGTTGTGTTTTGTAATTTATGTATGAAAGTATGTCTCCCTGCTTCAGCTAAAATGTTTTGACCTACAGTTTTTCCACTGGGCCTGGAGGTTTTTTTTAATGTGCTGGCCCTTAAGGCTCTCAGTTTACTCCGCTGAGTTTCAGACACTGGGTACATGAATACTAGTGGTGTACGAGGCCCGCGATACCATGCATCAATTTATAACCACAGTATCGCGATGGATACGATACATTTCATTACAATTTACAGTGGTGTAAAAACATGTGAATAACGGCAACTGTTCAACAACCGCCTTACGCAGATTCTCTGTTATTTCCTGATTGGCTATAAACAGCACATATAAGATTCACAGTGCACTCCAGCCTATATGTTTATGTCCCAGAAAAAACCCATCTTCGCTCTCTTAAAGTTAAATACAAATGATTCAGATTTGTGATTCACCTGCAAAAACAAAGAATGCCAACTTATCAAATAAAAGTACTGTATCAGGATACGAATCGTTTCGCAAACATAGTATCTGGATACTTATCGTAACGCGGATCCACCGTATCGTTACACCTCTAATGTATGCATGTATGTCAATTACGTTACATATGTATAGTTGTTTAATGTGAAGTTAACACGCTGTACTCTTTTTCCATTGGACGAGAGGTCGGTCACTGCCCGCGAAACTGAAGTTCATAAGTGTATGAACGACACAATTTGACGTTCATACGTTTTACACGATATCGTGTTCTTGAAATGACGTAAACACTGACGGACTACTTCCACATTCCTCGGGATACCCCTGGGAATTCCCGAGCACGAATAAATACAGAAGCCCTTCAATGTTGAACTTATAATTGAAATAAGTCAGAGAGTTTGATTGCATGTCCATTCTAGGATATCCTCAGTACAATCTATCTTGGAGAAAAAAACCCGAAGAAAAGCACATCCAAACTTCCTTAGTATCGACTCGATCCGTGTCTAGGCTACAGTGACAGTCTACAGCAATATATGAATGTACCTTAGCATCTCTTTGACACATCTATACAATCACCTTTCAGCGATCGACCAACTGATCAGTGATGACTAACACTTGTTATAACCAAATGTTCATAAAAAGACTTCGGAAATCTCTTCCGTCACATTTATCATGTCGGCCATTTTGACGTCTTGTACTTGATGTAAATGTTTACGACGCGCTGTCACTGTGACTGACCTACTGAGGTAGTTCCTAACAGACCTTTATCATCTTATGAGGATATTATTTGAGTACATTTGTTTACTGAAACAACAAAGGCTGTTCCTGTTGAGCATGCGTTAGCTCATGTTACCTCTCCTTTTGTGGAACTATTTTATTCCGCGATACAGCTGGTTGTTGTTTGGCTGTCAGTGTAAACATGAAGTCACATGTACTAAATTCAGTTGTGTATAAATCAAGGTCTACATCCTTTAGGGTAAAAAAGCGGTATACAAATTATAAGAATTGACTTTCATTTAGTGTGCAAGCTCCGACGTTCATATAGTTTGGCCCTCGCTCTACATATATGAAGATTCGTACTCCAATAAACTCACATAAAGTGCAACTCAATTCTTAAATATTCTCCTAACACCGATTGTCATATCTCTTCCACTTTTGGATGCGCTCGGCAGTCATCAATGCAAATGGCGGACACACGAGATACTGACTTGTGATGCCATTTTCTCAGAGACTCGTGTTGTGTTTCAGTTTAAGAACATTTGACACTTTAATTTCAATCTTGATGATCAGTTTTGCCAAGTTTCATCTGTTTAATATGTCTCAAAGTATGTTAACAGTGTTTGGACAATAAGGTTTCTCATATATCTATCCATGGTGAGGTTTCTTTTGTGGTTCAGTATTTATATATTTGAAAAAAATATAACTGTGTCAGCTTGTCAGCTCTGTCTTCAAAAACGTGTCGGAACCTCGTTTAAATGTGACTGTTATGCTTTTGAGTCAGAAAATTTAAATGTGATCTCGAAATACTGTAGTTCGTCACATTTCACGTCAAATGCTAAAACTGAATGGGTGCACTGACTGATCACGATGTTCATATGGACGAGCAGCGCTAATTTCATCATTAATCATTAATCACATGCTGACGCGGAAGGTGTGCATTGTTTAAAACAAAGTTTAATTGACCAAAAAAGATTTGATCAAGAGTTTTAAGCAACGATTCGCAACGTTACCATAACACAAGAAGATATTCATATGCTCGAAGTCTACTTTATTTAAGGCATTACCTCACAACACAAACGAACTGGATCTCCTAGGTGCCATTCTGTAACACCCTGACACAAGACCGCGGCGTTGTTTTTAAGTGAACGAGCGAAGTGAATGAAGCCTGCCTAAACGTTATTGATTCACCCACATGTAAACGCTATCTGTCGTTGGAGTCGCTGATTGCTACAAGAAACTGGCTCATGAGAACCTGTAAGTTTCGTATTCCACTTCTGAGCGTCAGTGTGTACACTGTATAGGGGGTGTATAGGGTGTGTGTGTGGTGTGTGTGTGTCTGTGTGTGTGTGTGTGTTTGTGCGTGCGTGCGTGCGTGCGTGCGTGCGTGCGTGCGTGTGTGTGTGTGTGTGTGTGTTGTAACTTAAGTATTTGTTTTAACAGCATCTTTCAACAATTCATAATTGTGGCAGATAATTTCCTGGATCAATGTTTATTTTATCGATAAAACCCTAATAGTTTCTAGTACTTTAAGAAGTGTACAGCGTGAATAAATAACAGTTCTAGTTTTAGAAATAATATAGTCTTAACTCCCGTTCTTCCCCAACCTGTTTCTATTGCGTTCAGAATAATTCCAATACGTTTGGATCTCCCGTTAGTTCCCCTAAACATTACAATCCAATAAGTCTATATATTTACCCCCACCCTCCATAAGTGTTTGTGTACCTATGGAACTCCCGTTAGTCCCCTGTCCATATGGATCTCCCGTTAAACTCCCTGTCCATATGGATCTCCCGTTAGTACTCCCACCGATATAAACTCCTGTTAGTCCCCCTGTCCATATTGACCTCCCATTAGTCCCCCTGCTCATATGGAACGCCCGTTAGTATTCCCGCCGGTATGAACTCCCGTTGGTCTTTCTGTCCATATGGAACGCCCGTTAGTATTCCCGCCTGTATAAACTCCCGTTAGTCTTTCTGTCCATATTGATCTCCCGTTAAGCATTATGTAAGTACGGAGCTCCTATTGTTCCCCCTACACGTATGTGAACCCTTGTCAGTTCTACTGAAGGTACTGCACACCCGTTAGTCCTCCAGGTCGTACTGAACATCCGTCACTATTGATCCTTTTCGTACTGTACAATTAACCCAGTCACAGAGCCTTACTATCAGATCCATTTAGTCGCCTCTTACGAGCATAGATTGCTGGGGACCTTCATGTATATTCTTCCCCGGAATCCCAAACGGATAGATCCCTTAGGCCTCCTATCAGGAGACTAAAAGGGGTAGGATCGGCGAATTGGCAGTCCTTCAAATAAGAGTTTATTGGTCTACTCGTTCAAAGTTTGTTATGTATACCAATTTAACAGTGAATCGTAACCCATCTTAAACAATCTCTCAGGTGGTATTAACTACAATATCTAGACATTTATAGATCATGGGGCAGTTTCCTTTCAACAAAAAATTATTTTGTCGGATCTGCAGTTGTTATTGACTATATAAAAGCCTGGGCATTTCAAT